AGACTTTATAGTAGTGGTTAATAGAAGTAAAATCTTCCAGTCGCTTCCGCAAAAAACATGTGGAGCATAATTTCTCCGGAAACCCAAGTTCTGAAGCGATCCCCTACCAGTCAGCTTTTCAGATCAATTTTTTCTTTAAACAAACATTTTGTATCGCTTCTTCTTAGTTTTAGTTAAAGACGGAGTCGATTTGTACTATTATCCCTAGTATGATCTGACGCAGCAGACCCTGGCTGCAAAATAGTTCAGAAGGCAAAAATAATGTCTGATGAGCGAAAACTAGTTAGTTTGAGGTAAATTTTCTCACTGAATATGAGTTTATTGAAAAATGAACCAAAAGGAAACACTTAAAAGAATGTTTGTCTCAATTTCCATTGGTTGAAAACTTTGGACATTAAGGATAAGTAATTCAAGTGAGAATTTGTTCTTAAAGATTACGAATATAACCGTATTTGGTATATGCTTGTTTTTTCTACTTCAAGCAGATTGAATAAACAAACAGATAGAAGTTTTGTCTTCGTCATCATTTTTCCGTGCAAATGAGAATGAACGGAAATCGAGGAATAAATCCTCCGAAATCTGTTTTAAACACTCTTCTAAGTTTCTCTTTTTTGACTCATTTTTTAATAAATTCGTATTTGCTGAGAAAATTTACTTAAAACTAATTCGTACTTATCAAAAGTCAAAATAGAAAAAAAATTGTTCTGGATTTATTCAACTTTGTGCCTCTAGAAAATCATGAAGAAGACAAAAAAGATGGAAGTTTTGTATTGATCTTTGTAGAACTCAGTGAATACTACTATTTCAGAGGAAACGAAAAAGTGTCTCGTGCAATTTAGGTTTTAGGCATTTTGGAAAACCTGACTTCATAGTTACGGACACAGTCTTCGAATGGCGCATGTCGTGTTCCTTTGTACGTCATTCGAACAAATATTCCTTTAACTTTGATTTAATATAAAAATACGATGTATTCCAACACATTCTGACGGCAGTAGAGCAAAGATAAGAATAGCTGTTTTGCAGCCAGGGCCTGCTGCGTTAGATCATACTAGGGTATGGGGTTTATATTGATAATAGTACAAATCGACTCCGTCTTTAACTAAAACTAAGAAGAAGCGATACAAAATGTTTGTTTAAAGAAAAAATTGATCTGAAAAGCTGACCGGTAGGGGATCGCTTCAGAACTTGGGTTTCCGGAGAAATTATGCTCCACATGTTTTTTGCGGAAGCGACTGGAAGATTTTACTTCTATTAACTACTACTATAAAGTCTACAGGGCCTCATCTTCACGGCTATCAGCTCGTGTATATCTGAGAGGATTAACCGACGTTTGAGCGACCGACATTTGTGCGCCAACATTTGAGCGCCGACACTTGAGCGCCCCGACATTTGAGCGATCGTCGTTTGAGCGACTGACATTTGAGAGACCGCATTTGAAGGACCAACAATTGAGCGAAGTGCATCACTTATAGCTGCTCACCCTCACCCCCACTCATCCTTACCCCACACAGCCTCACGCTCTACAGATCTCCAAATAATTCAGTTCATAATCGGACGACAAAGAGATTGTTGTCATCATCGTTATTAATCGTTATCGAAATGAATAATCATTCGACTTTCTTGATCGGCAAAAAGTCATGTTGAAAAGTGTCCAATGTCGGAGTCGCTCAAACGTCGGTTGACGATCTGAGAGAAACTGCATAGAAGTGCCCTTCGCGAATTCGGCATCTTTTCGAATATGGCTTGATCTACTGATGTGACCACGTCGACTTCACATTTTATGTAGTAAAAATCGGCTTGAGAGTCGAGATGTTTGGGCTTAACCTTGCATAAATAAGTTTTGTCCTGATTGACAACGGTAGCTCAATCCTATAAGCTTTCCTATCTTTGAATGAAAACTATTACAGTACATCAGTCAGAAATGGATCTTCTTGCATCCGTTAAAAACATGTTGTAAGAAATTTAAGCTACTTGTTATGTAACGTTTGAAAGATGTTTTGATAGCACATTCTAATACTATTTGAAGTAGAAATATTTAACAGTAAAGACTTGTGCTTGTGTGATATCCCGTGGACATTGTTTAAAAAAATTTTAGACTAAAAACAATTATCAAAATTACAATAGTTTAATATGGAGAATTGATCGTAAATGGTTGATATTTGAGCTCAGAAAGGAAAGTTGCTAAAGTATAATCTTCACTGCAGAATTCGTACGTAAAATAGTCAATATTCTTAAACTGATCTAGAAAATCTTAATTATTAGAAGACAAACTCAATCAGACAATGTTCTATCTTTCTTTTTATTTACTGCGTTTTTCCTCAGTTTACCTTTTTCGAGAGCAAAAAAAAGAGTAAATGTTCACCAATTCGTAGTAAGGTAACAGCATCACTTTAACAGTATGCACCAAAATATAATGTACAGAACAAAAAACAAACAATATGTGAAAATATCTATTTACAATTGTAAAGCTGTGCTAACCTTTTTTGGACGTCCTTTCCCTTGTCGTTTTCCTCATAACAGGATACGTGTATTACCACTAACTTGATACAAGTTAAATAAAACTGCTAAGTCAACTGAATGTGTACACAAATATTGTTTCATATCAACAGGACATGTACGCGCCTTTATTGGTACTACTAACCAACAGGATTGTTGCCATATAAAAAAAAGAGATGATAAAATGTATCCAACATTATGAACAGAGGAGACATGATAAAAAACTAGTGGTAAAAAAGTTGATACCTGCGAAAAAAAGGATTTCTGCATTTCAGCTGATCGCTTTTTTCGTTTTTTTCACAGTTCATATATGTTGTGAGTCTGGCTAGCATTAAAAAAACTGGACTATAACAACCCATGAAACTTTGGATAAAACACAATAATAAACTCATTTTAATATTTTCCACTAAAATCTGACTTCTCTAGCACAAACTATGAAAAGGTTAAGAATCAGAAGAAACTAAAAAATCACGAAATTAATGATTCAATCATCAAAATAATGAAAAATCACGGAAAATTAGAAAATTCTGAGAAATCAAACCTTACTCCAGATGTCCGTAAGCTTTCCACTCAAGAACATCATACACTGAAACTTTACCAAGGTCGATTTTTGCTCTAATAAACATACACTTAATACTTAACCAATATATTTAAATGTTTACCGTTTTTACCTTTATCCTCTGTCAACAAATGGTAAGTTTTTCCTTATCGGTTAGAAATCTATTAAACCAAGGTTTTGAATAAATTTAATCGTCTTCACAAAATGCTTATTTGCTTTAGCTGCCGTTCTTTTATATTTGTTCATTTATTTTAGATTAGCATTAGTTATTCCTTGTCTTGCACACACCACAATGTCGTATCATACTGAATTTAGCAGAGTTGTAGATCCTACATATTTATTTTAAGCTTATTAATTATATTTTGTCATCATATTTATGAAGATTCTTGAGAACTAGGATCCATTTTCGCTGGTAAATCGATCTAATTTACAGCTTCTTTCTGTTTATTTTTGTTTGTTTTCTCTGCCGTTGCCGTATCATGTGGATCTTACTCAAAACAAACTTTGGATATAGATAAATAACAATTTTAGACGTAACAAAGAGCATTTTGTACAACTCTTCGCACCAGATACGGTAATATTAATCTAGCATGAGGTGTGAATAGCCAACAAGCAGAAATAATCGATTGAAAATGAATGTTTATGTTATCAAAACGTCTGTAGAGATTGTGATTGTTAATAATGACTTCATCAAGTTGATATATGCTGACTAGCGAAAAAATGAAGCACTAAGAATGAAGTTTTTTAGTTATGAGAAGTATGAGATAACTTTTAGAGTAGATCTGATGAAAAACTTTCAGAATGTTTTTTCGTGAGACAGTGAACTTTTCCATGGAAAGTACAAAATTGTCGGTATTTAACCCTAGTTATCAAATCAAAGAGTCAAATCAATCGCATACGTCTTTGCAGATAGTTTTTCACTCATCAGTAACTGTATTTTACTATCACAAAGGGAATAATATTATATCTTTCAGAAACAGAACCCAATCACAACTATATATTTCATGCAGCACTTTACTAGTTTCCACATGTTCTTAGAAACGCAAAACACGCTAAAATGGCTTAGACTAAGTGTTATTCGAACGAGAGATTGTGTATGAGAAATGCGGAGATATATTGTCTGCATCGTAGATATGCTTGGGCAGTGATTTTTCTAAGTATATGTTGTTTCAGATTGCATGCTCTGATGTCATGGTCCTACTGAGATGAAGATACTGGATACTAAAACCTCTGAATATTTGTGTGAGCTCATTCTAATATGCAGTAGAATTTCGCTTGTCGGTCAAATGGAAACATCAGTCTTAATTAGAATGATCAGTACTCCTAATTAGAATAACCCAGTCATTTTCAAATAAACTTCACTTTTGCGTTCTAATAAAATATAATGATTGTACATGTCGACTACATATACAGCTAAACTTTAATTCAGTAACCTAAAGTAAAGAACATCTCGATTTTCTGCTATTCGTTTAAATTTATCGTCTCGTAGCCTTCAATGCCGTATATATGTATACAGAGAGAGAGAGAAAAGATAATCCAATTTTCTACTATTTTTCTCTTTCTTCATTTTCTCTTCTCTCATGTTCTCTTTCTCCTCAAATTACTTCTTTTTTCTTCCACTGTTGTATATAGAAATCAAAATAATAAGAAGAATAAAACTTTATCATATTTCTCTTCGGTCCATAAAAAAAAAACGTTTTTTTGAGGGAATAAAGAAGTACAAAGCATTCTCGCTCAAAACGAAAATACCGCTTAAAAAGTCAAAAAAGTAAAAATGGAAAGCGATGAACTAGAATCTAAATATGGATGATGTTTATGTGTTTTTATTAAAAATTATTTAATTGTCAAACCAATATATAATTTATTAGTGACAAACCAATTAAAATTTGTTTAGAACAACTTTCTACAATGATATAGATTATTATAGGCAACATCTTGAAGAAGAATGGGTCTTGAAACATGTCATTGTGCCAAATATTTTCTTATGGCCATTACCATTTTTTTCTGGGTATGTACGTGTTTTTTAAAGTAAAACATACTTTTTTTTGTGGAAATTTTTGAAGTGTAGAAAATATTCTCATCCAAGGCTGTTGTTAAGCGGTTGTTAGTAATGAAATTTGTTTGATACTGCTGAGCACTTTTGACATTACTAAGTAATTGTACATTATATCAAGACGATCAAAAGATTATTATTCCTAAAATCATACAACAAGCTGTCTTTTTTATTATAATAATAATAATCATAATGATTGTTCTTGCGTGAGATATGAGTTTTTCGATTATTAACATAAAATTTCAAGTCATTATTACGTATGACTTCATTTTCAAAAAACGCGTCTCAAGCCTTTTTCTCATAAAAAGAAACAGTTGGAGCATGTGAATTAAATTCTAAAAGCTATCTTCTGTTCAAGAATATGTATGTAATTACACGTCTATTTGATATCACATTGAGTTCTGTTTCATAATTAAAAATAAAACATATTCCATCATCTTTTAGACATTTGTATCAGCGCGAGAGAATACTTATAGAGAAAGTTAAAGAATAGCTATAAAGATTTAAAATTAATCCACAATAGAGTTCTACAGAAAGCAAAACATAGTTTATTTGCAATCTATAAGATCTATAAATAATTTCCTGTATTGGATGGGTCCTAATCTATGAGTTTTTCATAACCTAAGATATAATTTTGATTGATATATATCTTACAGAAAATGGTTTAGTAATTCTGCTAGAGATGGACGACTACAGTATTCTTTCGTAAAAATTCTGTTGAATGAACGTGATGTTCACACGGTTAACTCTGTTTTCTAGCAAAGATAGAGAAAATATATTTAATTTATCTACATCTATTTTTCTCATTTAGATAACTGGTATCAGCCTCATAAGTCTTGGTTGTTATTTGGTGACACGTCCTGATATACAGCAAACTGTTCAATTATTAAATATTAAAGCCATTCCCATATCACCTATTGAAGTGGCTGCATTATTAATCATCCTTGCTGGAATAATTATTTTTCTAATTGGATTATTTGGATGTTGTGGTGCATTTCGAGAAAATCGATTATGTCTAGCACTTGTAAGTTTTTGTTTCTATTAAACTTTAATTATATCAGATATTTTTCTTCTACTATATCCTCTTCAATTAGAAAGAGTTAACATGTTCTATTACGTTCATGACGTATATATGTATATAAATGCGTGCATATTCAAATGAAAAACAGCAACCTTGTAAACACCATTAGATATCAAATATATTATTAAAGATACATGATTTATAATAGAATAGACCATTCATTTCTTTATATCTGAGTCATAAATTAAACCTATCAAATTAATAAAAAGAGTAAGGACCCTAATTAACTTGAAAAATAATATATATTCAACAATGCAATAACTAAAGAGCAGAATAACAAAAACATCAGCTACTATCAATGTAGAAGAATAGACTAAAGCAGAAATAGGGGTGTGAGCCATTATGATGGATAATAATAAAAAACTAAAAGGAAACTGATCGCTTTTAACACAACTTTCTCAGACTATCAAACCCCAATACACATAAGTAAGAATACTTAAGTTTACTATAAAAGTAAAGATGATATAAAAGCTAAAGCTATAATAAAAAAGAAATCATCTACACGATTCTGAAATAAAGTATATGTATATATATACTATATGTACAATGTAACGGTATACAGTTATCAAGCATTTTTTCCTTATATGTATACAAACTTATGTGTAGTTAAGTGGACAAAGTGGTCTGCTGTCAAAGTGATCATTTTAAAAATAAATGTATTTTTGACCCCTCTTCTTTCTTAAACTAGGCATTCACGTGGTTATATGCTACAGTTTACGTGTCTCCGTTTAGGGAGATTTCTTTCATAGAAAATTCCATTTATATACAATGGTAGAACAAAATATGTTTAAGGTCATCTCGTATTTTATTCATGTCAATTATTATAATCGTAGCTCATAGTTCAATTCATCATCTGAATACTTTTATGACTATTGCCATAGACAAACTTTAAAAGTATTTTCCTGATTTGTTTTTATTCTTTCTCTTTGTTTAGTATATCATCTTTGTGTTATTAGTTCTTATTATCCAAATAGCCGCATTTATCATTACAGCCATGTTCTATAGTGAATTTCAGTTCGGTATACGAAGTCGACTGAAATCAAATATTAAAAATTATAATTATATTAATTCAAGTCCATACGAGTATGCCATTGATTCTCTTCAAAAACAGGTAAGTTGCTCAAAGAAATGGTTTTATTTAGCAATTGATTTTCATAATAACCTTAATGAATCAGACGTATAGTTGTCAATTATAAAAACATATCTCTTATACTCCAATAAGAGTATATTTGATATGATATGGTATGAATTCTTCTTTCGATAGTAGAATGTTAAACTAGACAAATTGAGAGAAATCTTTTGCACATCTTATGGTGTCCTATGACAGGAGAAGGAAAAAGTCAAAACTGAATGAGAGACGTATAAAGTTATATATTTTGCGATACAAAACAGAGAGATAGAAAAGAGAAAATGTGTTTTGTAACACTGTATGTATGTACGATGATGTAAGTCTTGTATAAATATAAGATGAGTCCACAAGATAAAAAAAATCTTTTTTGGCATGTTCAATCCGTAAAAGGCCTTTTCTTTTTGATTATAAAGTTGTATTTAAAAAAAAGGAAATTGACAGTAACAGTTGTATAAATTTATTACCATCCTTGTTTCTTGTATCATACATACGATAGAAACGACATACTCACAAAGGTTCAAACCAATGAAAATAATGTTGAAATGTTACTAAAATTGCTTTTTTTTTAATACTGTTGTGCTTAGAATTCGAAATTAAGGACATATTTATTGGAAGTCTACTAATACTGCTAAAAGTAAACTTGGCTAAAAGGAATATTTTTGAATTGTTGAATATTTTATTATAAGTATTGCTAGTCTCGTATATATAAATATTATTAGTAAATAATGATCAATGTCATCATTGTATTTTTTGATTATTTAACAAGAATGTTGCTATAGTTCATACTACCCGTAGGTGATTTACTTTATGGTCAACATGAAACGTCCTTGTATTACGAACGTTATGAATCATATGTAATTTTGTGTAGATAGTTATCAGTAGAACAGAAGAGAATTGATATATGGCAGATTTATGATCAAAATAAATATTTGACCAAAGACAAAGAATAGATTTTAACTGACACGTTTGATAGTTGTTTATTGTCTTAGAAAATTCTATTTTCAATGTTAACTTAATTTTTGCGTCATCAATTATAAACAGATGTTAAGATGACCTTCCAGAAACATATTTTGTATAACTGAATCGCTGAATCATTTATCATGACTGGTTGTGGGTGTTATGGCTTTCTAATGATATACTTCCTCGGTAACTATCACTAATGGCAGTAACAATAAAGAACATAATCAGACGCATTAATTACTTCACATACAATAAATACCTTAACATTGACTAACTAATAGTTTATAAACTTTAGTGGCTAAGATATCTTCGATAATATTATTGGAAGCCAACTATAATGCGCTATAATACAACTATTGTATGACCTTCTAAATAAACAATAGTTAAAACATTGAAGGAAAGGTAAAATTATTCAGACTATTAATTGTGAGGTTTGAATGACCTTCAAGCTTGGTATTGTACAAGGTCACGAAAAAAATGAAATGAGAAAAATGAACACACATACTTTGATTTTTAAATATATTCATTCCAGGAGCATAATTACGCGATATTTAAAGCATATATAAAAAAAACGTCAGTTCAGATTGTTCGTTCACTGCTGTTATACTATCAAGAGATCTTTCCCAGATTTATACAATCAGATAACTAAAACGAGTGACTGATCCGAAAGAGCAAAATATGTAATTGATTATCCGATTGAGTGGAACGAAAAACTTCTTTTAAATAGAAATAAACTTCTTCAGACAGATTAAAAGACCAGTCGAAAGAGATATCAATTAGAAACACGTAAACGATCAATCATTCGACTCTTCACATTAATACTTTCACTCGGCGCACTTGAGAAGAACCCCTGTCTTTTTACCATACTCATTTCCTCTCCTCTAAGCAGAGAGGAAGGAAAAGTTTGCTGTTTGAGTCATTTCTTACTTTGAACAAATGGCATTTTACTGGAGAACAAATGGCAAAGGTTTTATACGCTGCGTCTTTCTAATTCAGTACAAATGTTGTGGTATTGACTCGGCATATGATTATGGAGAACTACGTTTGCCCTCATCATGTTGTTCCTCATCTGCACCATCAACAGATGAATTATCATCTCAGTGTACGATTAATGATATCAATACTAATGGTATATCAGGATGTTACGCAGCAATTGCTAATTCTGTTATTCTATGGGGAAAAATCATTATTGGCACTATTGTCGGACTATGCGTGTTAGCCGTAAGTATTTCTACTTTATCAAAACAATGTTTACAACGAGCAATTATAAAAAACTTCTATTTCTCTCTTTCTCTCTCTATGTTCTAGTTGTTCGGTATTTTGTTTGCAGTTTGTGTATATCGAAACATTTATGATAGCTATGTAAAAGTACCATATCCTGTTTAATTTATATTTTGACAAAAATTATTATTGTTATTATTAATTCTACTGAATGATTCTCTCTCTCAATTTACAGATATTTTTTACTTGTCCATATGGTGCTTTTTTACATGTTTATATGCTATAATCTTCCATAAACAATTGTCTGAAATATGTGTTGGCATTAATTTTATTCTTATGTGTTCGCTCATTAAAAGGTAGTACTATTTTTTCATCTAAAAAAACACATAATAATGTTTTTGATGGTCATGTAGAGACATGACCATTTTTTACTCATGCATATGTATGATTCACGGGATAAGATTAGGCAAATAATCTAGAGAATATGATAAGATGATGAGTTATTTAAAAGTCAATCATCTTATGTTCACTAATATTTCTTTTCAGGGATTCAGTTTGTTTCTTTTATGTTTTATGATAAATATCTTTACTATGTAACAATTTTGTCCATGTTTTTAGATTAGATAATAGAGAAATGATTTTAGGAGAAAATATATGCATGTCATGGAATGCATGCAAGTTTATATATGCATATCATCTTGCTTCTTTTTTTGTACTTTTTTTTGTACGCCTAACATGATGATCAAACCGCTTTGCAATAAATATAATAAACAATTTAAACAACAAATAGGAATCGATTATTATATTAATATACAAGAAAAAACATAGTTCTGTCCCAGTTCTGCCAATACCTTGTTGAGTCACCTTCGTCGATATGAAGAACAACTTTAAAATTTAGTTTAATCCATGAATATCTTAACAATGCTTAAATTTCCACAACTCGGTTTCTTGGATTCCTTGACATCAGTTCTGAGATCACCAACCCAGGACGTCGAAAACGGTGTAAGTAATTGTCTGTTAAATACCAGTTAATAGCTAATGAAATAGTCATTAAATGGTCATTTTTACACCTTATAAATGGGAACGTTTTAATATCTTAAAATGACATTTTTTAACAGGCCGAAAACTGTCCAAAAATAGGCTAGTTAATAGAATTATGTAACGGCCGTTTTTGCACCATTACTGGTTTTTAACGGTCAATTATCGAATGTTTTCTTTGATTTGATTAATTTTTTTGATCAGTACCCCAAATATAGTGATTTCGACAATTTTTGGCATTTTTGGTTCCTTAGATCCACGGCACCATCAATGGCATCAGATCCAGAACTAGCGGCGACTTCCATGAGACAAATTTCAATGACCCGTACAAGCGGAGACAAAAAATTTTAAATGTCAGTTTTTTCGCTGTATGTTTTGCAATTGAAGAATGGCCTGCTAATAGCCATTTAACTGCGACAGTTATTTTACATTTTAGGATGCACAGTTAAATCCTGTTTTTTACCATTATAATAGTCAAAAAATTTACAGTAAACAGTGACTATTAACTGCCTTTTCTTCAACAGTTTCTGGTATGTTAAATGTCTTTTCTCGAGCCTTTTTCAACAATCACATAACAGACAATAAACTGACTGTTATCTGGCAGTTTTTAACAGTTATTTATGTGTTAAAAGCCAGTTTTTTTGGCATATATTTAAAACGCACTATATGGCTTATTAAATGTTAGTTATGTTTCACCTAGGAATGAATAAGCTACTTCTGTTAAATGAAACTGGATATAATATATTCTAGGCCGAGTTGTGACTAACCAGCATAATCAGCAGCAAAAAATGTATGATTGATTTGTCGAAAGGTTTTATGAAACTTTATCGCCGTGCAGGAGCACGGTTATCATTTTATCGGGTAGGGTTCCAGTCATTGAAATCATATAAGTTTAATACTTTTTTGAAAATTTCAATTTATTTTGTTTGATTTTACATCTGCACTTAGTTGCCCTTTTTTATTGCAGAAAAATATCATTTTTGTGTGTTTCTATCTATTACGATATTTTGACCATTGAATAAGAGCAAACCTTTGGAAAGAGGCCGTACTTGTCCAATGAATTTGATACTGGTATGGGATTAGTTACAGAATTCAACCGTAAGTAGATGAGGTTATGTTCGACACAAAAATTTGATTGGGTGAATTCAAGTTCTCTGAACCGAATGAAAATAAGTCGTGTCTCTCAGCTGTCTTGTTTTTGTTGTTTTTTTTCCTTTTTATTATTTAAAAGATAACAGAATGAGAAAACAAGTCGAATATGGATTACAGGACGCGCCTGAATTGACCTTTATCTAATTTTTAGCCTTATCGTATCGGTTAGTTATGAATTGTAATGAGTACACGCACAATAAGCGTATTTCTTTTCCGTCCGGAACCATACCAATACGTTATGAATGGCTGTGCTTTAAATCTTTGTTTACCAGCGTCCCGAATTCAGGACGTTTTTTTTCAGTTTCTTGATTTCCGAATAACTCCCGACCGCAAAAAGATATCGAGATGCGACGATGCAGTTTTGTCTGCTGATCTCTAATATGTTATTAATTTTGCTTGGAAGTATATGAGAAGTGAAAAAGACAGAAAATAGATGAAATAAGCGGGAGTTTGGTTGAGTGCGACGCCTTCTTGACAATATTTTACCTATGGATATATTTTCTCCCTAATTTTTCATTACTATATTTTTACATGATCATGTTGGACATTAACCACAGAATTTACGGTAGAGTGGACGACCCTTAGTTCCTCACCCTTGCCTCCCTGTGTATGTTTCAATAGCGGGTGCTCATTTTCAATAAATATCTCGAATTATACAATAGTTAACTCTCATACTGTTTGTGAATAATCTAAAGACATTTTAGAGTATTTAGTGCAATTTTGAAGTGAAAATAATATTCCTAGGCTGAGTTACGAATTTTTTTGGATGAGGGTCTCAAACTTCAAAAGTGACCCTCGATCATAAAATAGCTGTATTTCAGTAACTATTAAGAACTAACACTTCAAATTCATATCTTAGATAGAGGAGGAGCAGTGCTGCATTTTGGTAAAAAGGAAAAGCTTTCACCTCTCTTGGATCAGGAGTTATTAGCATTTTACGAGAAAGAAATGGAACGCTTACAGCTCACAAACCATCTAGTAAAGAGGCCCAAACTTGGTAGGTGATCAGTATTTGGTAAGAGCATTGACCACGCAGAATTAGAAGTCCCTAGCTATCATAGTCGAGTAATGGTACTCAAAGGGTTAAATGAGATTTTGGCGTAAGATGAATACGTACACTTGTTTTTTTCTTCCGAAGTGTAATTGTAAATTCTGAAAAAGCGCCTGCTTATCAAAGATGACATTTGTTACGATTTGCTTTTCCTAGGACAAACAAAATGACGCACACGCACACATATAATTACAAAATATGTAAACAACAGCAAATCACAATTCTTGTATAACAAGAAAAATAGTATTTTGTTAATTTTGTTCTTCATAATAAAAATGGAACACATCTTATAGGTACAGTTAGTTTACTAATGTTTTTTAACTGTAGCTTCACATTCAAATTATTATAGGTTTTGCAAAAAATAGTGTAAATCTAAATTTCAAAGTGTACAGGGTACATTCTTTCTTTTTTTATGAAGTAAAACAGCGTACATTAAGTTTTTTAAAATATCCATATATTTTGCATTAAAAACACCAAAGAGCAAACGCTTGGAACAAAGTGTTACAATTAACGTGGATACTTCAAAAAGTACGTTGATGATAGGGTGATCATATCCTTCAAGGCAGATTCTTGGATATGAACATCGCTGTCGGAATAAAGATGCTCGCTTAAATTTTCGAGAATAACTGTTTTACGATACAAGTTTTGATGTCCCTTTGCATTAGTAGTTAGCAGTACTAAAATAATCTTAATGATGCTGTAAAAAGAAAAATAATAAGACGACGAAACATAAATTTATTTAAGATTTTGCAGTTAATTAGTTTCTAAATATTTTATCAATTCGTTTTTTATGACGGAAAAAAATGAATATGCTTTGGATTATGCTGTTCAGGCAGAATAGTAAGTGATAACTCTTTATCTATTAGTAAGGTGTTTTTAACAGTATTTATTTTATTTTTAGCAATTTACTACAAAAACAACTAGTTCCTGGATGCATTTGTATTCCATCTGCAGCAACAAATCTCAGTAAGATTCTTTTACTTGTAGATCAAGATATTAGATTGTTTTCTTCATCTGCTTTTTAGCTTGGTTTGGTGTTCATTTCGTGTCACAAGGGCCCTATCAAGCCGGTATTTTTCGTTTCGTTATAACCATACCAGACAACTTTCCTAATGGTGATTGTCCGGTAAGTAATTTCTTACGATTATAATAACAAATAGTATTATATTCTAATTACTTTAGCGAGTAACATTTACACCGTCATTTTATCATCCGTTAGTTAATATTGATAACGGAGAATTAGATGTCAAACGTTATTTTCCTGTTTGGAAGTATATTTACTTTTTTTTTCTTTGCTTTACATTGGAAAACAATTAATTCAAAATTTTTATTGTCTTTTAGACGAAACGATCATCATATATATCAAATTTTACGTTGCATACGACGAATATTTCAAAAAATCGAAACAAATAATCCATCGAATGCTGAAGCTGCGATACTGTAACTACTGATATCAATGATTAGATATAATAGTATTCTGATGTGATGTTTTTCATAGCTACGAACAAGATTCTGTGGCATTTAGCGAAAAAGCGAAAGACTCCGTTTCGATATCAAAGAACAACATAAATAGCTCAATAATAGACGATCCACATGCGATAGTGTAAGTATTAAAAAGAAACGTAAAACTGTATCTGTAGAAAACTACAAATATGACCAGCGCTTGGTTCTGTAATTACATTTGTAGAACACGACAAAAATTATTTTTCTTTTGATATCTATTCTAACATTTATTCTAGTTTCACACCTTGGAATGAGAAACTCCAGTCGATCCGTCAATCTTTACTTGAAGAAAAAAAGGTAAATTTGACACATTTATTAAATTCGCGTTATCCATTTGAGGTCAATAATGAGAATGGCACAGAAATAGACCATAAACAGACAGAGATCAAAGGCGATAAATGTAAGCGTGTTCCATACCTACCTAAGGTCTATGCATGGACTAAATTGCATGATATTGCACGTGTGCATGTATACACTTTAAAATGGAAAAATTAATGCTTCTGATTGGAATAAAATGTGATTGACAAAACGAGACTGTTTTATTGGCTTTTGTATAATAATAATTTATAACAGAAAACTGTGTGCTGCTTTTTTACACTTATTACGCCGAATTTTTGTTTCTATTTTAAATATATTGTTTTATCTTTCCCCTTTTATAGAAGACATTGGACGACATTAAGCCAGGTATCAGCTGGATGAAAACAGGTGTATGCCAAATATTTGCACGAGAAGATACATTACCTAGCTCTTATACATAGTCATTTTCGAATAGCTCTTTTTATAATTCCGTTCATCTACAATTTTGTGTTTTTGACTGTCATCGGTTCTTGTATATTACTTTTTATATTTTTATGAAATAAATCTCATTATTGTATATTTAATGCAGGCTTTTACACTCGACTTACTATTTCAATTATAGCAATCACCATTAGGACCACCAGATCTATTTCCAGAGATAAATTCCTTATGCGAAATGAATAATACGATCTTTTCTCATTTTCTAGATCAATATTCCATCTATATCATGTCGCGATCTCCTTTTCCATATTTTACGTTGGGCACAATTGTGAAAGGCTTTGGTCGTGGAAGTAAAGAGTTGGGCATACCAACAGGTACTGAAAGGCAAGTTCACTTGTTAGAATAGACTGTTTACGTTATTATGACTATTATTTTTATGGTTTTTGTTCAGCTAATTTTGCCGAAGATGTCGTTGAAATATTACCAAAGGAAATTTATCAAGGAGTGTATTTTGGATGGGCACAGTTAAATAATGATAAAACGGTTTATAGAATGGTTATGAGCGTTGGCACAAATCCATTTTATAATATTGAGAAAAGGGCAATGGTTAGGAACATTATACATTGTGTTGTCAAGGAGTTGAAATGAATAAATGTGCTAAGAATAAGCATATCACTCGTAACATCTCTTTATTAAAAAGAAGTATAGTTAGTTTAAATTTTATTTATCACTTCGGAAAAAGAACAGAGAGAAAAACAAAAAGTAGAGATGAGTATTAGGCAGTTTTGCTTCAATACACACAAAATCGGGAACCATTATATTGCTGTGCATAAGAAAAATGCTTGCTAGGACAGTTAATACGATGTGTAGAGAGAGAGGGAAAAAGAAGTATATATCATCCCCATCACTTTATAGGATCTTTTATTTAGGAAGCGCATATATTACATAAATTTCCGAATGATTTTTATGGTGAAACATTAAAAGTTGTTATATTAGGCGAAATAAGAAAGATGACGTCATTCAACAGTGTTGGTAAGTGTTGATGAATAATATAGCATGAAGAATAAATGTTTGAATAATTATTTGTTGTTGTAGATGAATTAAAAACCGCAATTGAAAACGATATTGAATGTACAAAAACAGAGCTCGATAAAGAAGAATATAAACGCTATAAGACAGATAAATACTTTACTCTGTAAAATAGTTAAATTTTTTCCACATTCCCATAACTGAGTAATTAACAGCATTCTTTGTTAAATTTTTTTAAATAAATTACCAGAAAGTACGGAACTCTCTCGAAGCTAACATATAATTACTGTCAAGAATGAAAATGACATAGAGTTCGCTGAGCAGTAGAGACGTTAATATTGAATAGTAATTAAGGTGGATTCACAGTACATGCGTTGCGTTAAACGAGAAAAATTAGTTTTATCCAGAATTTGGCTCTATAGATGTTTTTTCATGGTTATTGCACGCATTCTGAGAAAATACTAGGTAAATACTCTTCTAAGTAGTATAGTCAAAGAACATCTACAGCCTGTTCATTCATAATAAATTATTCTCTGTGTAGTGTAGTTAGACTGCAAGTACCTGATAAACAGCAACACGGTGATCTACCGACACATTCTTTAAATAAACGTGCACTATTCACGCTTTCGTTGACATATCCGTTTGTTCTTTTCTCTCCTTTCTATAAAGTTATTATTTATATTTAAATATGTACAACACCAAAAATTGAACCTTTTACAATTCTACATTATCTTCTAAGGGTGTCGACATCGATTGTTCACGATTATCGATATTGAAAATGGGGTTAATACCAAACGTGAAATTTTCGACGCGTTTATAAGCTTCGCTTCTTTGAAGCGGACCAAATATCATGAAACAAACACCAAAAATGGATAAAACTGATAAAATAATAATGATAACCATTGAGTTTGGTAACAGATTTGATGAAAATGGTTCATTTTTTGAGTAATGTATAGGAGTTGTGACAACCGGATGAGATGAAGTATTCGTTGTCTGGTTCATACATCCATTTAATATCGTACAAAGTATATTTAGAAAAGTCGAGGTCTGTGGATGATCTGCCGTGTTATATTTTTTTAATACATCAAGAATAACGAATGGCACTGGAATATTTGATATGAATACTATGTATAACCACTGATATCATCGCATGTATTTCATATTTTTCTTCAGTATGATGTGTGTATGTATTTCTTCTGACTTTTAGCAATTATGAGTGTGTATTGAGATAATGACTGTAATTATACAACAAAACAAAGCAGAAAAATACTTTTGTCTTTCAGACCGAAAATATATGTCACTATTTGTAATCTAGATAGAGAGGAAAACTACTGCGGGATTGAAATAGGAAAGGCAGCACGTACGCTCATTTTGAGTTGGCTCTTTTAGCTATTGTCCGTTTAAAAAAAGAATAATGCATGACCATTTTTTGAATTTTTTGAATGAAAATACTTAAAATATGGCTAGTTTTTACTAATTAACCTTAATTGTAGTAAACGATCAGAAGTAAGACGATGCTCTGGTCGTTTTAAGACGTTGTAAAGGGCCAGCGGAGTCGAACCCATCTCAAGATTTGGTCGGCCCGTTTTTTGCTTGCATCGTTAGTTTAAACCGCAAACTTCCACTTCCTTCGGAAATCAGACAAGTTCTTGGAAGCTTTCAGAAAAGGAGAACTTTTTTTAAAGAAAATCAAAAAAAACAAAAAAAATTTTACTTCGTAGGAACAAAAGAGAAACAGGCGAGAGATAACTGCAATTATGTTAAATTTAATAATTGTATTTGTAATTTATATATATGAGAGGGCTTAGTAAGATGCTATTTTATCGATACAACACACATGCAGAATAACATTCTAATATCGAAGTTATTTAAAAAAGGAGACTATATTTTACGGGAAGGATATTACGAATTCTGAGTTTGTAATCATCAACATAGAACTTTCAGTGGTTGAAACCGCCACATTCAGGGTTTGTACGCACAATTTTTAGGAGTTGTGAACACCACAATATACACAAATTAGCGAAAGATTTGATCTGGTCATTTTCCCCTAGAAAACTCTATACATTTAAATCTCAACCTTCTATTTTCTTTGGAAAACGGACAAGTCCTTGGAAGTTTTCACAAAACCTATATTATGTGAAATAACTCATTTTTGCCTATTTTCACGTAAAATTCATAAATCAGTCAAAACCAATCCAAACTACCTCAGAATATCAAGATATATTCTAATTTAATCTGCTCAGTATGATTCTGTAGTTAAGAGTAGTATAAAATATTCCCTTACTTCAGAAGATTTCTTCTTTCCAAAAATCCAGGTATTTTGTATTGGCTTTTAAAAGTTCTATTGAACTTCCTGATATGATGCAGATAAAATAGATCATATCTTGATATTCTGAGGTAGTCTGATTTTGACTGATTTCAGAATTTTCGAAGTTTACGTGAAAATAGGCAAAAATTGGTTAATTAGTAAAAACTGGTTCACATAATATAGGTTTTCGCTAGATATTTGAACTTTTTTCGGAAAACAAACGCCGCCACAAGACTCAGCGTGCCCGATAACTTGTGTTTCCCTTCATTTTTCGGGATTACCACACCTAAGGGAATATCCTGAAACTACCAGCAAATCCGATACCACAGCTCAACCAAGAAAGATTCAGAGGTCGCTTAGATCCCATTTTGTTCTATCTACTGATGTAAAAAATTCAACACTTTGGTATTTTAAATTTTTCCGTTATACACGAGTTTTCCAGAAATCTCTCGAAAAAACCTCTAAAAAGGTTTCTGCTTGTAAAAAGATGTTTCACAATCTCCTCTTTTCATAGCAGAAAAAGTCAGCTCTCTAACTTTCATCATTTAAAAGTTATTCAAAAAATGGTCATGCATTATTCTTTTTTTAAATGGTAATGCTTTATTTAAAAATAGATTTTCTAACTTACCTCTCTTTTTGCCATATTTTAAGTATTTTTTCGTCATAAGTGATTACAATGAGGCTAGCTCGTCATTCCTAAACCGCTTAGATTTCCCTACACGTACCGCTTCAAAAAACCTATTGTGCTGAACGAGACATATAGTTTCAATTCTATACAGTGTGCCTTTTGACGGCAATTTTTTGGAGAAAATTTTATTTTACGATATTATTATAAACTTACGTAGTTATCTCATTAATAGAGGATCAATTTTGTCGTTTATTTGCAGTTCTGTAGAATATAACAAAAAAAAATCGATCATATACTTGAAGAAAATTTTGACATTGTAATTAGAGAAGAAAATATAGAGTTGACGGGCAAATTATTTTTTTAATATGTCATATTAACATCTTTATGACTTTTATATTTTAACATGCATACTTGGAAATTACTTCACGATGTGTTTTTTTTTGTTTCTCTGTATGTGTGTGTGCCAAACAAAGGAATAAATCTTGTGTCTTGGACATTGTTCTCTTGATGATAAATTGTTACTTGAGAAGAAAAAAAAATTCAAAATTTTTTCTTTGAATTCTGTGAGAAAACACTTTTTTTTTCTTTTTCCTATGGTACACGTTCAACGAGAATTTTAATTGCAAAACCCGGATATAGAGATACTTTTGAAAAACATATACAAAAAATAATGGAAAAAGTGAATCAAGTTTTTCTTAATAATATATTTATACAAGAATAGAGAAAAAAAAGCTAGTCTATAGTCAATTCAATTTTAATAATGTAGAAATATGTAATGCTTACTATACCATAAAAAAGAACATGTCATGGAAAAAAGTTTTCTTGACGGAAATCACTGTGTACAAGGATCACATGACAAAAAAGAAAGAACGACAAATTTTCAAACACAGCTACTTTAATGATGTTCAAAATAAGGAACAAATATTCTATCAATTGATTATAAGTGATTGAGTCTAAAATAAAATTGTTAACAAAACAACTATGTCTCAAAAAATTTAATGATACGTTTTTATTTTTAAAGTTTAGCTAATTTGTTCGGATGAACGCTAGATTTATAGCCTAGAATGAACAATTGCATGTTTCTAAGTATTACTGAATTTAAACTTGTTTGTACAAGAAAGAGCGAGTGAGGCTCCGTTGTTTTTGTTGTTCTTCGCTAATCATGATTTCAAATCCAACGCATATTATGAAACCTATATCTATGGATTGCTTTTTTGTGTGACGAGAAATTTTTCGCCGCCTATAGAAAAATTTAAATGTGTAAGCTGTCGACATCTGAGTGTTCGAATAGAGCGTATTGTTTAGTATTTTCCTTTTCTTCTATAAAAAGTTGCTCTTTAGCTTCTTCTTACAAAGTAGGATTTTGATGGATCTATTGCGTAAAAAGTAGAGGGGAGGTCGATGTGTCAGTTAAAAATATGAACGACGCAGAAGAGATAAAGTGTGGAAAAGGGTCCGTACTGTAGGAAAACAAATGAATACATCACTGTGAGGTGAAACAAAACACCTTCTACATACATATTTCTGCCTTAATTATACTTGGTTCCCTTCGTCGCTGAAAAGTCATATTAAAGCTGGCAAGTTTCACCAGAATCTTCTAAAATCGCAATGAAAGCCACGTTTAGATAGGACTTTTGTATATGAACGTGACGTTCAATGTTTGTACAGGGTGTTTTCGATAAGTACTAATACAGTGAAATCTGAGACTTTATATGATATGGATGTGTAGCTTAAATATTTTATGTAAGAATAAGTGTTCATCAGTTAGATTCTCTACTTTCCAGACAATATATCTACTTTAAGAGGTATCAGTTTAAAATTTGTAGTTGGAGAATGCTGATGGGTTTTGGTTGAGAACTTTTTAACAAAAGAAAGCTATCTATCAAAACAAGATTTTGAGATAAACGTATCAAAGTATATTCTAAAGTTCGTACTTTCAGTCAATATGTAATTGATTACCAAAATGAACTCTGATAGGTTTCTAGTGTTGTCCATGAGGCCTGACGAAATTCGAAATTCCTTTTCTTAAAACATGTATACGGTGTTAAAGTATACTTCCTTATTTATAATGTATAATACTTACTTGCAGCGAAGCAACGCATCCAAATAAATTGTTTCTTATTTGCATAAAATTTACAAGCTGATTAAAATCAATTCATTACTGTTCTTGATAAAACTGTATATTTAACAAAAACTCTAAACTTTGTATTAGAGACTTTAAGTGCGCTGAAAAGAGAAAATTAAAAGGTGTCTCGACCAGTTTTCAGATTTGAATGTCACCCGATCTTGTGCGCTCTTGTCAAGCTGTAGGAAAGTACATCTTATGTACAGTCTCATTTTTGCCAATATACCACCTATGACTTTTGAACGGATAAGCATTTCGGGATGAAATTCTTATTGTGATAAGTTTATATGAGGCACTCAAATTTGTAAAAATTCATTTTGAGTTACACAGTATAGACATCAAACATTTGTATGAACTCTCAAAGCCTGAGAATGATACTTGTTTGTTTTTTCTTTAGATTTGTTATGTTTTTATGATATGAACGATAATCAAGATGATGTTATTATTCTGTCAGATGAAGAAGATGTTCAAATTGAGTCCGTTGTCAACGCATCGAAAAACCGATGTAAACAAAAGAACGGTATCGCCACTAAAAACCATGTACCTGCTGTAGTAACCAGACCAGTATCGAAATATCGACAAAAAGTCAATGATGAGAAGGCTATAAACCATCAAAATCTACCATCGAAAACGAAAAAATCATCGCTATTGACGTCAAAGAACAATGTATTAACTAACAACATTGAACAAGCAGAACAACAAGTTCAGAAACGAACACCTGTATTAGTTTTAAAAGAACCTCAATCTGATTCCTATGGCATTCAACGCGGTTATACAATCGAGCGTCTACACGGCGTGATAAAAGTAGATAAACAATTATATTTTTTGGTACAATATACTAATTGTATGGATTATGAACTTGTACCATCTACGATTCTCAATGAATTATGTAATAATAAAGTTATTGATTACTTTCAAAATACTTCAATATTCATTGATTAACAGATCTGTTCTGTAAGTTATCTTGTATTATTTTGTTGTTATGTAAATATAATGCGATTTTACCAGAAATTTGTTTTAAAAGGCATTTCTACACTAATAACTATTGATTATGCTGTATTGTAATTCAAATTCAATTCAAATCTGTAATGCAAAATCTATCATATAGTGTACTAGTGCTACCAAAATTTCTAGAAAGTTGAAAAGGAGGTTTTTTCTTAAAAGTTGTATATACTGTTATACGTTGACTTTAGGATATGTTTGAGCAAAAGAAAAGATAGTAATTTCCTCTTTTCAAGTTGAAAAGTACGTCTAGATTTAGATGACACTGCAACAAAATGCATGTTCAAGTTATTACTTAAACTCGAACTTTTGACCTTTATTCAAGGGTCCTCCTGATGATGACCCTTGAATAAAGATCGAAAGCTCGAGTAGTGTTTTAAGTGATAACTTGAACATGCATTTTGTCGCAGTGCTATATTTCTTACTTAAATCTGTTTTCTTTACTGTACCACCTCCAAAATTTTGTTTAGATGACACGTTGAAGATGTCTTAGGTTAAACTATGCAACAACTAGAAAACTGATTTGTTCTGTCACTCAAGGTTACACAACTAAACTTCATTTTATATTCTGTTTCAGATGAGTAAAATTCATATAACTGAGAAAAGTTTGCAAACGAATGTGACCAATGTCTATGCAATGCCTTTTAATATTCTGTACAATGGTTCGGCAAATATAAAACGACATTTTACAGATTCAGTTCAAGAATGTTGTGCTGCTTCAAATGTTGGTGGTGACGGACAAACGACGGAATATACAGCATCATTCCGAGGACGCCCACTGAATGGTAAAACATTAGAATTACCAAATGATTATGTTGGCCTTATTTGTGAAAAAGAAAATAATGAACATTTAATATCAACAGGAACGTTTCGTAAAATAACATATTTTAATCTGGATTGTCCTACTACAGATAATGATTGTATTGTTCGTTCAGCAAAATGGTTATCGATAGCGAAAATTTTACATGAATAAAGTAAACTCTTATTTTCTTCTAATTATTAAAGGAAAGAAAACGAAATTTGTAAAGCTTTTTTTATTTCGAAGTATGTATGTTACTTTTTTCTCATTGAGTCTGACGGCGCTATAATATTGTTTAAGTTTATGTGAATATTATACAGAATTAAAATATCTCAATATTTTTCTGTTTATTGCGACAGTTCGTTGAATGAGTCAGAAAACTTAGTGCTAATTGTTGGTTAATCTCATTCCTTTTTGTTCATGTTGTAAATAATTTAATCAATACATGGTTTTTTTTTGTTCTACTTTTGAGCCTTGCTGAACAGATTGGAAAAAGAATGTGGCTGACGAAACTAAGTTCCCTTGTGCATTTCACTTTTTATGTAGAAGTTGACTGTTTATCCAATTAGCTTATTCTTCTCTGCCACTACTTTTTGAAATTTCTTATGTCATTGTTTTTTTTAGACTTATTATAGAATCTGCTTGAAATCTAAGCCTCATAATCTATCATCATAATGGGTGCTTATAAATATCTTCAAGAAATTTATCGTAAAAAACAAAGTGATGTTATGCGTTTTATATTTCGTATACGTACGTGGCATTATCGTCAATTAGCCGCTGTTCATCGTGCACCAAAATCCACACGTCCAGAGAAAGCACGTCGTATGGGTTATAAAGCGAAACCCGGTTATGTTATTTATCGTGTACGTGTTCGTCGTGGATCACGTAAGAAACCAGTACCAAAAGGGCAAGTCTACGGTAAACCCAAAACTCAAGGTATCAATCAGTTAAAATTTCAACGATCATTACAATCGGTTGCCGAAGAGCGAGTAGGAAGACGTTGTTCAACCTTACGTGTCCTAAATTCATATTGGGTAGCACAAGATGCGACATATAAATTTTATGAAGTTATTTTAATTGATCCATTTCATAAAGGTGAGAGAATATGAAAGAAAAGTAGATAACGGATTACTAAAAAGTACTATTCTCTGTTTTATAGGTGTACGACATGATCCAAGAATTAATTGGATATGTAAACCAGCCAAAAAACATCGTGAATTACGCGGTTTAACGTCAGCTGGAAGAAAATCACGAGGACTTGGAAAAGGGCATCATTATTCGCAAACAACTGGTGGATCAAGAAGAAAGAACTGGAAACGTCGTCAACAGCTCAGTTTACGAAGATATCGTTAAAAAAAATCGATACAAAAACAACAACAACAACCGAACAAGAAAATTTATTCGATTTTTGTTGTTTTTTTGTGCATATTTTCCAAAAGAAAATTGTTATTTATCATCATCATTCTACCGTGATTTTAATATGTATTTGTTTTTCATGTACAAGCATCTGACGTTTGTGTAAGAAAATAATATAAAACAAACATATTTTCTACTACTTATTAGTGGATAGAAGTTCACTTAGCTTACCATCTTCGTTGGTTTATTGAAAAAGAAGAATGCATCAACTCTAAATTGATCAATTCTGTTTTTGTCCGAAATATCAGCTTTAGCAAGTATATTTTAATTTAAGTTTTATCTAATGGGTATAGGACAAATATTATTTTTTTTAAGAAAATTTGATACTTGCATAAAAATAAGGAAGATACGACAAAAAAACAAAACAAAAATTAATAGAAAAGGCAATAACTTGTAAGACAATTACATATCAGAAAAAAAAGTTTCTTAGATTTGACCCTTAAAAGAACATACACTAAAATTAATTGATAAAATACAAAATATTTCGTTTAAGCTTCTATTTGAAAGTAGTAATCGGGATAAAAACTATTTCTGTATCACAGATGTCTGCTCACTACTTCTGAAATAATATGTATTTAACCATTTTTAGGTACATTAAAAAAATAAGAATAAAAAATTCCAGTACATATAGATTAGATTAGGGGCTAAAATTCAATTTTCAAAAAGCCTTCATCTCATTTTCTACTTGTGAATTATTGCATATTGACAGATTATCTTTAGTCGAAATTTGTACATCTTCAATATTTGGTTTTCGTTGTGTTGTTAAATAATGTCCTCTTTGTTTTCTCATACCATATACACACCGGTTTATATCTTTTGTATTATATTCAAATTGTAATGTAAAATGCCGAATACAATGTGTTTCAAAAATAGTTTTTAATTGACGTCCAAATATTTGTGTCTGAGTACTCAATAGTACATCATCGTCACAGACAAGATGAATTGATGCAAAGACATCTTTTGCAGTTGCTCTAAAACCAAAAAGAGAAGAATATCACAAAAACATTATTTGTAAATGATTTTTACCTACCTCCAAACATGAAAATTATGAACAGCTCTTATTTGTGGTATACCCTTTAATATTGATTGCATCAATTGTTCCGTTTTAATACCGGCCGGTACCGATTCAACTAAAATATGGCCTAATGACCAAACAACGGGTACTGCTTTGATGGCAATTACAATGACCATAAGTAATGTTAAAGAGGGATCGACATATTTTAGCCAAAGATTAATATCGTTCTTATTTTCATCTTTATTTGGAACAAATAAATTAAGTAAACCAGATAATAGAACAATTAATGATTCTAATAGAACGGCCTTCGAAAGGAAGAAAATATATAAATAAATCTAAAATTGATTAAAATTCATATTACTTACCAATGAATGTAAACGTAAGGCATGTAATGTAGCATATATTCTGGATTCCTCAAATTGTTCATCATCTAAACAATCAGTTTGATGCGTATAAGTTGACGTTCTACTACTCGAACGACTATAGATAGTTGGAATTTTCAATGGATTATTGTCAGTATTCTCAATTAATTCTATCTTTTGATGGTGTTCTTCGTCTTCAGTGGATAAATCCAATGAATACGGAGTTTGTTGTTGTTCATTAATTAATGATTGTTCTTCTTCTATTGATTCATGTACAATTAATTGTGGTATTACCATTTCTTCAATAACTTTACCATTACCAACATCATGTGATTGAGAATGATCTTCGATTATGTCATGTTGTAATGTATCATGGACGGATTTAACAAAATCATCTTTTCGTTTTTCAACAATTTCATATTCAATATTGTGATCATGATGATAGCCTCTGAACATTATCATACCGAGAATGCCAATAGCCGCTCCAACTGATCCTAAGACGATCATTACAACAGGTTGTTCAACGTGACCTGGATTTATTATTTTATTAATAGCATCAACAATTATACTTAACGATAAAGACAATAATAATACTTCTTGTAATAGGCCAGCTAATAATTCAAGGCGAGCCCATCCAAATGTATTTCGTTGTAATTTACGTTCTTCTTGTGCAAATCTCAATGCTAATAGAGCACCCGCAAGTGCTATACCTTCAGCAAATGAGAAGAGACCATCAGCGATTAATAATTGAGAATGTACACGAATACCAAATATTATTTCGGCCAATGCAATAAACACAGTTAGTGCTAACATAATAATCATACGACATGATTTAAATTTTAATACACGACGAATTTTTTGAAATACATCCCATGCCATTTAGCTTGAATTTAGTTTCATGTGATTAGTCTTTTCAAATTTGATATTATCATCTCATGTTTTTTTTTTGTGCACAATTATCTATTGATATCTTTAAGCTAAAACAAATAATAAAATTCTATAATCATATATGAAATCATTAAATATTACTCGTTTGAACTAATAAATCGAGAGATTGTGTTTTTTTACATAAAAGACTGTTTACATAGAAAATAAACTTTTGTAGAGATCAATTTCAAAAATCAGATTTACTCCTTCTAGACTGTTTGGATCGTTCAAGTATTGTTCAAGAAATCGGATAAATTAAAATAGTGTTAATATATGGTTAGAAAATATTAACATTTTTATATATAAAAACTCAAAATTGATAAAAAAACTTCTATAAAAGTTATGTCTTCTTCATAAGAGTTCATTACCCACTTATTACAAAAAATAAAATACTTAATTGGACGTCAATATAGATAACTTTTGAGTGATATACACTCATACTCTATTTTTTTCTCAGAACTGAAAAATGTCAGTGATATAAAAAAAACATTAACTTCAAAAATATTATTATAGTCGAAAGACACATAAGAAAAAAAGATTCCTGCATGTCAGAAAATAGAAAGCTTTCAGTTGAATGTGCTTTGTCGATTTTTTTTCAAAAGAAGCTAGATGGAGGGGGAGGGAAAGGGAATGAAATAAGAACATTGACTAAAAATAGCTTTATGATTAGTATCATTCAATATACTACTAATCATTTTCTTTGTGAGGGTCAGTCACAGCACGTTGATTCAATCAAATTTATGGAAAATGTAACAGTAGTTGATCCTGTTTATTCTCAATGTTAGAGTTTCAAGTTATGACGAAGAAACGAAGAAATGTACTACATGTACTAATTAACAAGTAAGAAAGAAAAGTTTTAATATTGTTTTTCCATAAAATAAATGAAATATAGCATAGATAATAGCACCTTATTAACAACTTATTTAAAATATCATAATTGTTCCACGTCGATGAGATGAATACAAGAAAGAACAAATTGATATGTAGATATACTTGAATCGATGATGAAAGTGAATAAAAACAGAAGAATGAATGAATATTTTTTACAACAACTGCATATTTAGTTCTATCTATGTGTGATCAAAATAACAAAAAACAGCACATAATTCTGAAAAACGCTTGGTTTTCATCTTTTCTTCTAGTTTTGCTTCTTTTCTCTCGTTTTTTTTGTTTTTGATTCATGTAACATATACGTTTTTTTCTTTTCATTTTTTTTATCATCAATATAATAGTATAGATGAAAACACTCATATTATTTGTTTAGACACGGCAAACACTACCATTATAGGAAAAGTGTGATCATTATGCATTATTCTTATCTTTAACAATTAATAAATTCAAATAGTTTATGACTGTATAGCATTCAGTGCAATTGCCTGCTGATTAATTTGATTTGATGAGCAAAATGAGAGAAATATTTTTTTTTAGAGGATATGGTCTCCATCACTCCTGGATTTGACACTGGAATTTATCCTTTAAGAAGCTTCTTTCTACATATGATTATTTTTTATTCTCTACATCATATTAATTATTTTGTAAATCCCTGAAACCATTTACAGAGATTATCTCTTCTTTTAGTGGTTCTTTTAGCCATGCGATTAAGTTGTTTTCCTATACTTTTATTTCCAGGATAAACTGTTTGAAGGTGAAACGAAACGTTCACTATAAATTTGTTCTATAATGTCAACATAATGAAGAAAAACTAGTAGGTAATAATGACACTGCTATTTTTTAATATTCGTTTTGCTCATTTAATATAACACCCTCACATCCTGAAAATATATCATCATTGAATATCTTGAAAAGTTCCATTTTTTTACAAGAACTTTTTGATAATATTCTAACTCGTACAATTTAATTATGTATATCTCTTATCTTGAGATCATGCATTATAAGACGGATGAATAAGCTTTAGACCGTTTTATTATTACTCTATATTTATTATACTTTAGAATCATTAAAAATGCTTACTATTACTTTTCTTTTTTATTTGTGTGTCTAATTTTACGTTTATATTCGATTTTGGAAACTTGTTTCCTGTGTCTTCAATCATCATTTCAGTTCAAGTATTCGCCCTATCAATAATCTTTTTTTCCTTTATCACCAATAACAATAAAAGGAAACAATTATTATGTCCTCAAAGAATTGATTGGCTTTACAAACATGAAATGTTTATTTCATGAAATTTTCTCTAGTACAGAATCAAAAATAACAAATAAACAATTAACTTTTTCTTGTAACACTTGACTGAAGAAAACCACTACGTTACTTAGGAGTTATACATAAATTACTCTCCTTTTTTTCTAATCAGAATTCTCTTCTCTTCTATTTGAGAAAACTTTGTAGAAAAGCGTCAATATTGACAATGATTGTACGGTACCTTCTATTTTATGTTGATAAAATGATTATTGTCCTCTCGTACAGCTGATATTTTCCAAAGTGTCAATAATCACTATCGAATATGTCATTGTTGACTGAAAATTTAACTGGAATAAGATTTCAATTGTAACTTTCAGTTGACTTTGACCGTATCCGTACTGAACAACGTAATTTTTGTATGTCTCTACACTTAAATTCAGGCGAATAAAAAATATGACGACTTTTTTTTTCCTTGAAGTATTAAGACGTTATCCATATAAAAATAAATATTATTGTAGAGAGCAAAAATACTAATGAGCTTTCTTTTAGAATAAATCTTACTCTCTGCAAACATTATTTTAAGAAAAAAGGGATATTGCCTAAAGTTAGAACGGGTTTGAACTATGAGAACTATGAAGAATTATTAAGAATTATCAAAAATTATGATTCAAGCATTGCGATAACTAAAAGTTTTAAAAATATTGAAATTTGTCGATTAGGGATCAAGAGTATTCCACAACTGTCAAAGCTTTTGCAAGGCACACATGATCATTCCTTAGAGTTTATTTATAAAGTATTAGATACTAAACACTGAAACTTCGCTAAAAGCAAGTTCAGCCAAAAGCCAAACGGGCAAAACTATATTGAAAAACAGGTCACAAACCAGGTGTTTAACTTTTGAAACGCAGTTCCAACTCTGATACGACCAGTACAAAAAGCTCAAAAGAATGTAACCGTTGAATCAAAATTTAGTATCTATTAGGAATGCATCGATTATGGTTAACAGTAACCATAAATAGTTGATCGAACGGTTAACCGTTGTGACATGTTCATTCTACTGTTACTGACTCGAAATGATTTATGATGACATCATCGACTTATGTCTAAACGAAAATTTTCAGCTCATTCGAACGTATTAAGGACTAGATCTTTTCGATAAAGATGAAAAGAATTTTTTTTGTACTATCATTTTTGGGGCAAAAGAATAAACTTTTTTTCAAGTACAAGTGCCAGTATGGTAAATCTGGTATGTGCAGAAGATTTTTTCTCAAGTATTTGATAATGCAAATCTTAATTAAAGATATTTATTCGTGAAGTGTATCAGAAACTGCGTATGGAAGAATCGAAATTTTAGGGTTTTTAAATGGGGAGTCAATAGTTAATTAACCGTTCAACCGGCTATTTACGATTACGATTATAATCGGTTATGTCATAACTGTAATCAGTGCATGCCTAGTATCTACTTCTAGCAAAAAAACATTGAAATTCACAAATTATTTTCTTTCTAGTGCAATGTTCCTTTCACAGCCGATCTCCAATGCAATGTTATTCACTTCATTATCTATATATGTGACTGCTATTATGAATGAGCCATTAGTATAGTACAATCTTTATATGCACGGCTGTATTGTAAATATGCAGTAGAACTTGTAATGCGAATGTTTTACTTCCCACCGCATTAGCAAGTCTCGCACAGCATGACTGCCATCTAGTTTTTATAGAGTACTCAAAATTAGACAATGCTCACATCGACGTGTCAGTTACCTACTTCGGTAAAAATAAGCTGTAAAATAAAGATCTCAACTTTAATGTAAAAAATAAAGGATTTATAATAATGTAGGTGGTAAATACTCGAAAACAAATGCATCGAATAGAAAAAAATTAGGATTATCAAATTCTAGTTCATTTCCTCTACTACAACTGAGATTATTTGGATACCTCTAAAGTATTTCGCTTACTTTTTGTCAAACCTTTCTAAAACATTTTACGACGAAATAAAATGCAAAGAATGTAAATTTCAAAGAAGAGAAAAAAAGATACGTTAAAATTTTGGATAAGTTAGAACAGATGGATTGATAACTCTTTCTCTTTCTCGCCAGACAGAGATTTTTGAATCTTTTGATTATGATTTTTCATTTTGAAGCATTTTCATGCGATCCACACGAGATAGGAAATAAATAATCTGCCATATTTTCTTCAGCTGATTGATATTACTTCAGCCGAACTTTCTTCCACAAAAAAAAATAATAAAAATTCCTACTCATTGTTCGTCATGCTTCTCAGTCGTGCTTCTCAACCGAATCCGACATCGGCTTCCCCAGTTTGCAAGAGGGTCAATGGGGGGGGGGGGCGGATGGAGTACTGTTAAACAGGTTTCTTTAGCTAAGGAAAAATCTTAATAATTCAGTGTGTAGATAAGTTGAAAGTCTGAAAATTTCTGCAATATTGATAGACCAGAAGTAGCTTTATGAAAAATAATTTGAGCTCTTAATTCGATGTTTTTATCGAGATACAAAACTTTTAGTGTTACTGTGTTTCCTTATATAAGCAAACAAAAATAAATTATAACTTTTGGAAGAAGCTATGAGAATAAATCCTTTTAGAATTTTTACCCAGACACTATCCTCTATCAACCGACACAATATCATTGAAAACAGAGGATGATACCTCAGAAGGTTCTCTCGTTATTAGAATAGTAGTTTTGTTCATAAATAAATGCAAATAATATAATTGAAAGCTAGAAAGAGAAAACGCTTTTTTCTTTTTGTCTTTAGTAGGACTTTCTCTATGATGAATACATGTATTTATGTGAC